CCTAGAAAATCAAGAGTAACCATGATTATGCATATGATTAGTAGGCAGTAAATTAATCATGAATGATTCAGAGCATTTTTTAGAGACAATATTAGTCTATACTCATGTAAAGGGCATATTTTTGCACATTTTTTGAGTATGCAGTAAAATTCATTAGAAATAAATGAATACTTAGCTCAGGAATAAAGTCATTTTTTAGACTAAAGTCTAGTTATAAATGTCAAAATCCATTCAATTTATTCTTTTTTTAAACATGCTAAAATATGCAAACATGATTTTTATTGCTTTAGTAAATATAAACTTTACTACTTAGCCACAGTCTCCAAATGTAAAGTCTAACTAATAATTGGAGCAAAAAAAAGTCTGTACATAGGAGCTCAGACGATCAAATCTAGAGTGTCTATTCATGTTACTCTATGATGTCATCTTTGTCTCTCAGGTCCTCAGTTACATGGATCTACAAAATTTCAAAACAGAAGTGGATCAATCTCTAGAACCAGGCAGGGACCATAGCACGAATGAGAACTTGCTTTGGGCTGCAGGGAACACATGGGAAGATTTCACAAATCAATGTTCAGTCATCTCATGATGCAGACCTTGTATACAAGAGACAACCTGAAACCATCTTTGTGAATTATTTTGGTACAACAGACTGAAAACAGTATCAGCCAAAGATTACATGGGTACTGTTTCTATCTCCAATTATTGTCTTCTGTTCAGCATAAGTTAATCATTTCACTGGACAGTAAAGTTTGTAGCCAAAGATGTAACAAATGAATAATTTCCTCCAAATCACTGCTCATGTTGTCTGTTAACAACCAGCAGTTCAATTACTACAGCATTCTATTAGACTGCCGCTGCTGTTGCTAAGTCGATTCAGTCGTGTCCGACTCTGTGCAACCCCATAGATGGCAGCCCACCAGGCTCTGCCATCCCTGGGATTCTCCAGGCAAGAGTACTGGAGTGGGTTACCATTTCCTTCTCCACAATTCATTCTTATAATAGCTGGGCCGAAGGTAATTCAGTGGATAATGATTCTTTAGTAAAATTATTTCTCACTATTTCTCCTTATTGTATATATTATAAAACATCTATCTTTCTTCTTTTATTCATATAATCAGAATCTTACAACTATTTAAAATCTGATCAGACCATTTATTTTTTGTTCTTGTCTCAGTTGGATATAGACAGTGATTTTTACAAGAGATACATTTATATTTCAGTTTAACATTTTATGATTAAGAAGCAAAAACACATTTTGCAGAAAAAATTTTGAAACCACACCAGGGAAAATAATTTGGCTCTCACTTATAAAGGATAGAAACATTAACATTTTGGGGTTAGACTGAATTCTCTCTGGATAAGTGGGTTTAATTTACTTAGTTATGGCACCAGAGTAGAACCTCGGAGTAAACCCGGTGATAGCATAAGTATCTACTAAAACAAAGAATGACTTGGAGGTATATTTCCCCCCACCCCCATCCTTCTTAAGTAATGTTACCTAAATGTGAATCCCATAAAGTCAATTGAGTATGATGCCAGTCATCCACTTGTCAAAGAATAAGTACAAGAAACAGACCTTTTTCAATGGGTACTCTGTGGGAGTCAAAAGAAACCATTCTTATACATCAAAAGAATGGCTGGGGATTGCTGGAGACCATCTACAGTACACAGCAATGCTTTCAGAGTCACATGCCAAGACAGGGCAAAAACAGAAAGCCGTTTAAGTCCAGCATAGCATGGGTGATCCCAGGAGTGAGGCTAGATTGTAGGAAATGGGAAAGCCATGGCTTCATTAGTTCCACAAAAGACTGCAGAAAAGTCATTTTCCACGAAGGTAACTTGGCTGAATTTTTTTTTTTTTTTTTTACCATAAGCATGGGGTGGGATTCACTGATGGGGAAAATGGTTCCTGGCTTTGCAACAATGGAAATTTTATGTGAGAGCAGCCGGCAAAGAAAAGAAGAAAGGTCAGAGGGTACATTCCTCTTACTGCAACATGTTTTCACCAGTTGAACCTCACCCTTGTGATTAGCAGAGCTCAGACAGCTGATAGTTGGAAGTGGGAAGGGGGCAGAAAGAGAAGGAAAGTTTTCACGGGCGTGTCAGAAAGCTATTGTGTGAAATATCTTTGCAAAAGTAAAGTGAAAGAGCCTGAACACTGCCTGCTCCTCTGCTGGGACCCCCTCTTTTCATTAGTGGGAGATGTTACGTTCCTCTGGGAAGATCAGGCTCCTTGTGCTCACTTTGTTCTCCACAGCTACTGAAACATTTTTTCACTTAATGTTATTTACTTTTACTTATCTTTAATTCATCTAGAGAAGAGGTAGGTTTTGTGGTAAATGAAGTAGAACAGTGAGAGTACACCCTCTCCTTAGGAAAATACACAGGAGAGACTGAATGGGGCAAAAATCCTCTCTCCTCCAGAACAAAGGGTCAACATGATGGTATTGATGATGTTCAACTGGAATCTTTGAGATGGTAATGGCAGAATTTCCTGACTCATGCTTACCCCAGAACAGTTTTCCTGCATTGCCTGTAGAGAGACAATAGCCCACTAATTTTTTGGGGGGTGGAGGGAGTGGTGATAGTCCCAACATGTGTACTCCATGCCCTCTACTTCTCTCCCCTAAGCTTTGACTCAGCTATCTTAAAGAGATAGCAGAAATTAGAAGTCCCCTTCACTTACATATATTTCTTCAGGCAGATTCCAGGAGTGCTTAACAGCCTCATAGAATCATTTGAGCAAGTCACTTATAAGACTGGAGAGATGAGAATCGAAATGCTAAGAGTAGGGTAATTACAACCGACGTGAGGTTGAATTAGGAAGAAAATCTTAAAATGGTATTTGAAATGGAAATATACAGTAGTTTACACAATCTATTTTTTTAAGGTGATAATATTTGGTGTTTTATGTTAAAATAAAAATATAATGACACAGAAAAATGTAGGTCCACAGACCAATGTGAAGTGAGTCTGCACATGAGAAGGTTTTGCTGATTTAGTGATTGGCAGAAGTTTTTTCTAGTTTTTGTTTTTGAACTTGTCTGTTTTTCTCTACTTTTTGCAGAAGAATGATGTGATATAAAGTTCTGTATTCAAGCCTTCTTTAACCTATCACTACTTTTTCAATCTTATCTTTCACTTATTCTTTAAAACAAATCCTTTCCTCCCCCCTACTTTCACCACATATTCTTTGTGTTTTGTTGTTTCTCTTATCAGGAATACTTCTCCAGTTTCTCAGTTCTCTTCCCTGCTTCAAATTTTACACTCCTGCAATATTCAGTTCAACTCTCATCAACTAAAAAGCCTTCTGATTCTACTCCAGGCTATTCTGACCTTCTTAGCTCTGAATTTCTGTATCACTTATACAATCCATCATTGTGTTAAACACTGTCTTACGTTATTCTCCAGTTGTTTCATAGATATTCCTTATTTTCCCAAGTTTATGAGATTCTTTTGAATTCTCCTTAATCCCTATCCCAATAAGGTTAGAAAGCACCCAATTATACTTATTGAGTTGGCCTAAAATCCTTCAAACATTGCAGCCAATCATCAGGTTTCCTATTATGATTTTCCAGTAGCAATGTTGCCATCATTATCAACAACTATTTATGAATTTCTACAAGGGTTTTGGGCACTGACTTGCAAGTAAAACAACTACTAACATGTACAATTCTGTAAAATGTCTCTTCTTTATCAATGGATTTTATCTTCCAAATGAATTTAGGAGTTAATCCGCCCACTGTAGGTAACAGAAGAGTTCATACCTTTTCCATAACCACTGAGTGAATGATACTGGGAATCTCTCTACATTTGATTGAAACACAAATAAAAGTTATGTAGGCAGAATATAATTACTGAAGCTGGACTATGGCCAGGAAACGTGGGAGAACACTCCCAACTTCTCCCAAAGATTCCACAGATAACCACAACTGGTCAGAATCTCCATTTCCATGTACCATCTTAAACACAGTCTCTCTTTCAACCCCAGCCCTCTAACAAAATAAGGCCACTCAAGTAGTAAGATTCACAGGGAGAAAAGTTACATCCATAGGTTCCTAAAGAACAATGTTTAATTATTTTTGTTTATTTTTTGACAAACTTATGAGGTCTACAGGAAATACCTAAAGCAAGTACCACAATGTTTCCAGCAGGAAATGCATCCTGTTTTGCTAACTTAGAAAAATGACCTTTAGTTATATAGCCAGATACTCATCCTTTCTAACACTAAACAACACTTGAGAAAGATTCAGTTCTTCTTTAGGAAAAGTAGAGAATGGTACAATATGTATATGTGTATGTCTCATGCAGAATGAAGAGTCAATTAACTCTACCTCTTACCTCATTTTTCATAAGACCGTTTCACTGAGGCTTTGGGATTATATTTGACTCTTTACATGTATGCCACAAAAACATTATCTTAGTCAGCTCTTCCTCACTGATCATGTAACTGGAGGTAATGATAAAATCTGAATTTGACTTTTTGATATGTTATAACCCTCAACTCCATATTTCTTCCACAGAAGCAATTAAAATATATATAGATTATAACATGTGACAATAAATTAAAAAATTCATATCTAAGAGTTATATAGTTAGGCTTGAACATTACTTTGAAAAAAAGATAAACATATCACTCATTTTAAGCCTATAAATGCTGTTCAATAATAGCAAAGAAAAAGAAAAAAAAAGAAAAATATACATAAGGTATATATATGTATATATATATAAACCTTAACTCACTATAATAGTCTCTCAAATTCAATTCAAGTTTGTTTTTAATCAAGTTGATTACTATTTTCTCATTGAGTTTCCTGACCCCCAAAACCTTTAGTTCCTGGCAAGCAGCAAAAAAATATAACATGGCCAAATTCACTGTTATGCAGTCCTTACTTGTTAAGTTCTAAGATGCTCACACGCTCAGGTGTCCTTAATATTAAATGCTTTGGTATTGATAGTTAAGACATCTCAAAACATACAGCCTCAGATTTCCTTACTTCTGACCAGTCCAAAGCCACCCACTGAGGTGGACACGACTGGTTGTTGCAGGGCTCTTTTTCAATAGGCCGGTGTGTTAAACAACCACTGTAGTCCAGTGTCTCCTCCTCAGAAGGTCCAATCTTCCTGATGCAGAGTACTGCCCTTGTGCGCATCCCACCATCACAAGTCTTGCTACATTCCAACCAGTCCCCAATGAACCACCTGCAGCAAGAAGTGAAAGAAACACAGAAAAGCATTCCCTCAGTGCAGCCAGAGATTTCAGCAGAGTGAAAGAACTATATCAGTGGACTACCTCCTCTTCCCAGAAGAGCTAACATTTCAGTGTTTGTTGATGTGACAAATGACAAACAGAAGAACTTCTTCCATATACATAAGGAAAAGATAAACCACTGTTAGCTGCTTTCTAGAGTACAGTGATGGGCTTTGCAGAAGGCAAATCCAGGTTCAAACAAGCAAAGCATTATATGTTTTTAAACTTCTTCTTCTCCTTTTTTCTTTTTTGTTAACTAATTTCTAAAATGAGGATAACTACCAATCATGAGATTTTCATGAGGATTAAGCAAGGTACATATGAAGCTCCAAGCCACGTGCTGGTAAATGTTAAAAACTGGCTCCTCCTGGGAGGGAGAGAGTCCTGATCCATTGCATTTGCCAGTTTTTGTGATACAGATACTTCGTTATGGACAAATTCAAGCTATCACCCTGAACATGACCAAGAGAAGATATGCTAGTCACAGGGTCTCAGGAGCTTCTAACAACATGTGACACACAACAAACAAGAAACAGAAGCCATTTTTATTATTATATTGAGAGCGGTTCTCCCTCAGTTGAGTGTTTGGTGATAAAACCACCCTGCAGGAGCAAGGGATTTGTTTCCTGATTCCCGGAATTGTACATCACGCTCTGCATAAGACAGAAGTCTTTACTGTCCTTCTAGGGGCAGAGATGGCCCAGGTATCCACTCAGAAGACATGGGAGTGCTGAAAACTCTGCAGTAGGAGTAGAGTCCTGAGCCAGGTCTGTGAAAACATGGAGATCCTTGCTTTGACCTCCTTTACTCCTAAAAGCAGCTTCTACAGCTAATGTGGGAAGAAACAGAAATGTCTTAATAAAAGAACATATCTCATATTTGAAGGTATACCATGCCTGAAGTCATCAATGAACTTTCATATATGCAATCTCAGGTGTATGTTTGCGTCATATTTCTGCAGGACTCACTTTTTTGGGCACATTAATTGGTCCAAGGGTATGAATCATGATCCCAGCCAAACCAAGAAGAATTCAGCTTTAGAAATTCTACATCTAAATGTAAGCAAAAGGAATACTTTCCTTTCTGGTCACAAGGGTGTATAAAGATATAAGAGCTGATGCTGGCCATATTCCCTGTCAAGTGGAATTAACTGATCTGAAAGAATGCAGAGGAGGAGCTACAGCCTTGAAAGTATTTGAGTGCTTGATTCCAGCCATTCCTGAAGCTAGGTCCACTCTTATACTTCCCTTAGCTTTGTTAATATAAATATAATTCTCTTCAGTGCAGAAGCTAGCCAAAGTTGAAATTGTGCTAGTTTCACCAGAGTGCTGACTGATACATTATTGTATTTAATGTCATGAATATATGCTGAATGCCTACTATGCTAAAGGCACTGTGCTTTGTTTCATAGAAGAAAGTAAGACACTGTGTTAGGAAAGCAGTTTTCCAAAATCATGATAAGTGCAATGATGGAGCTAGAACTAGATCCTGCATCCACTGTTATCCACTGAATTTCACTTCCAACAATTCAACATTTCTAACAAATAGTAGAATCTAAACCAGAAACATGAGGCCAAAAGACATTTTCTTCAATCCATGCTTATAAATCATGCATACATCCTAAATGGAGATGCTCATGCTCTTGGGTAGGAGACTAACCAGAGAGAAGAGCATAATAGTTAAGAACAAATGTCACCTCTTTCCATGAGCTTAATTCATTTGTGCCAGTTTTATATGTGGAAGATAATACCTTAGTGAAGTCAGAGTACTAATATCCTAAATTTGAGCCTACACTCAGCCAAATAAGCCACAATGGCCTTTGTTCATTATTATTTTTATTATCTTTACTGACAGAGGGAAACCAGCATTTAGAAATATCATAATTAACCAGTTTCCCAAACTTAAAATATATTTTGTCAAAAATTTATAATTTTTCAATCTAAAATTTACTTAAAGAGTGACAATTTAATCTGGAATTTTAGAAATCTGACATTAACATCTTTTTTCTAAGTCATTTTCCAGAGGAGATTTAAAGTGATTTTCATATTCTTTCCATTTTGTTTTCCACAGATGAATAGGATCCTAAGTTGTTAGTACCATTTTTGGTAAAGAGGAAAATGTGTACTGAGAATAATAACTTGCATGCCAGCCATAGTGAAACTCTGATTCAATTCGAAACAATGATTTCATCACCAAGATTAGGGGATAAAACAGTAATGTGTATAACTCAGCCACAAAAAGTTCAGTCATACCACCTCCAGCCATGATCTCATTAGGTCTCATAATGTAAGAGGGATGGAGGCCTTCAAATTAAACACAGGTGCCCAGAGTAACAGCAGTGATTCAGGAGGTGTTGCTGTTACTTTTGCTCACAAGGCCAGGGCCACCTCTGCCTTTTTATTCTTCATCCTCTCTCTTATCGCCAACCATCTCTTAGCCTAGATGTATCACTCTAGCATTTAACTCGGAATATATGAAAGTAAAAACATTATCTACCCTCCCAATTTCCCTTCTGACTTTAACTTTGATTTCAGGCTTCACACTCAGTCCCTCCCTGTTGTATCTTTATTGCTCAGCAAATCATCCCTTCCCATGTCTCTCTAAAGGATTAAATCACCATCCAGATATTTAAGTAGTTTTGCAATTTTACCACTATATCTACTAGTCCCAGTTTCACCACTCTCCTGTCCAGTTTAAGACAGACTGTTTCCTCCATCATTTTCCATGTATTTGACCCTCTGCTGACATTCTCCCTATTTCTCTTTTTTCATTCTCTAGATTCAGTGGTAAAATATGAGCATAAAAATTCTCAGAGATTATCAACTGCTGAATCATTATAATCTGCATAGTACTGGGGCTATTTCTTTCTGAGCTGAAGAACCTACGATAAAACTATCTTCATTCTCACCAGGATGAAGAAGCTATACAGTTAGTGGGATTCATTTTTGAGTGTCTGAAATAAGAGTGGCTTGATATAGCCTGTGTAATCCAATCTACAGTATCTGTACATTAAGAGGATAAACAATAATACTGGGGGAAGGGAATGAGATGATGGGAGTTGACTTCTAGAATCCCTCCCAGGTCTGACATTTTGGAGTTTTATACAGGAATCTGATGATCTTTTCCTAAACTTATAACAGAGTATAGTTGTACATGGGAGTGAGGTGCAATGACTCAAAATAAAAAGATACTATTAAAGAAAACCTTGCCCCTGGGTAAAAATCTCTCTCCAGTCTGACTCTTTTCGCTTATAACTCTTATCACACTTAACATATTTTGCCTTGAACTATAGTTATTTTTATAGGGCTTCCCTGGTGGGTCGGTAAGGAATCCGCCTGCAATGCGAGAGACCTGGGTTTGATCACTGGGTTGGGAAGGTCCCCTGGAGGAAGGCATGGCAACCCAGGCCAGTATCCCTGCCTGGAAAATCCCCATGGACAGGGGAGCCTGGTGGGCTACAGTACATGGGGTTGTAAAGAGTCGGATAGGACTAAGCACAGTACAGCACCATGTACTGTATTCTATTGCTTTCACCTCTCTGATTTTCACAAATTTAAAAATCAAAGTTACATACAGGAATTATATTCAGTATTTAACGATTCTTCACATGAGGTCATATACAGAAATATTTTTGCTATTAAAAGACAGCATGGTCAAAACTGAACTCTTGGCCTTTCTCTTTGGATTCTAACTCAACATTACTTCCTTTTCCTATGGTGAGGCACCAACTTCCTATCAGTCATGCTCTTTAATATCAACTCCTCCCTTTTCCTTTTCCTAATGATTTCTGCCTATGTCATGAATCCCACCATTTTCATTCAAAGCCTCTAGAATTCTTGGTTTTTTTTTTTTCTCTCTCCTTAGTCACCTCACCACCTTGACTATTATTCTCATAAAAGAGTTGCTCCTCTGACCACATTACTTTTTCCCAGCAAGGCTCCCTTTGGCTTTTTAAAGTCTCTCAAATAAACACGATTATCAGTATTTCTTCATCAATGTCTCTTTTGTCTATTCTTCCTAGTCCCTGTCATTTTCTTTATGTAATATAAGGACAAATCTTATTGCCCTCTTTTTTTCCCCATTCTCTACTTATAAAGTCTCCAATATGACTAAAGGACATTTAAAATATTTCATTATTTGAAAAGATAATTTCTGATTAAAAAGTACCATTTAGGATTATAAATTAATGGTATTGGGAAAACAGTAATATTTGAAAATAAATATAGATCCTTTCCTCCAAGCAGGCAAATATATTTCAGATAGATTAGAGTTTACATAAAAAAAAAAAAAAGACTTTGAAAGCATAAGTATAAAGTGGGTAAGGCCTTCTTAACATTATACCAATGAAAGAAATACAAGTTAGATAGTTTTCCTACATAGTATTAAAAAAAAAACTTTTATTAAGTAAAACTAGATCATAACAAACTAGGAAAAAATAAAGAGTTAATATACTTACTACATTAAGACTTCATACAAAACAATAACAAAATGATAAGCACTTTGATAGAAAAAATGGCACAGGCCATGAAGAGGAAAAACAAAAAAGAAATGACCACTGAACATAATTTTTAAATGTTTAGCTGCATCAACAATTCTAGAAGTACAAAAAATAAAACAGCAATTAGATATCAAGGTTTTTTTTTCCCCTTTAAATAGTTAAAGATTGTTTTAAAAATAATATTACCAAGTGTAGTTCAGGTTAGGGAAACAACAGTATTATGTACATAGTATCAGTGAGAATACACTTTTATACATTCTTTCTAGAGAGTGATATGATAATGTGTCCCAGAGGGTTAAAGATAATTCCGTTTACACCAGAAATTTGAGAAGCAAAAATGGTTAATGCTGTGGAATAGAAAGGCATCAAAAGCTAGGGCCCAGAGAAGATTGTTCTACAGTGGAAAGTCAATTCAAATAAACATGACGTATCTACTAAATGTTGTAGACAGTGTTTAATGTTCAGAACAACATAATGTTCAATATGCTGAGAACTGACTACAAGACATCATAAATAACTGTTGTTTAGTCGCTAAGTTGTGTCTGACCCTTTTGCAACCCCATGGACTGTAGCCTGCCAGAGTCCTCTGTCCATAGGATTTCTCAGGCAAGAATAGTAGAGTGGGTTGCCTCTTCTTTCTGCAGTGGATCTTCCCAATCGCTGGACTGAACCCACATTTCCTATATTGGCAGGTGTATTTTTTTTTTTACCACTGAGCCAAGGAAGCCCAAATAATATAATACCACTTTGTTATATACATGTGCCGATGTAGACATTAAAAAAGATGAAAAATATTAACCATGATCTTACAAGTATTATTAAGGTTTTAAATTTTCTTCTATTTATCTGTATTTAAGGAATTTTATGCTTTAATATGTATTGCAAAAACCAAACACGATTGTCACATTGCCATCTGAAAAAACTTCTTTCTCCCACACTCATTTTAAGTCTTTTTGAATTCAGTAGTCTTTCAGTAAGCCTTATCTCTATAATACAAATGTAATGGGAATCTTATTACATATGATAACCATTCTGGATAGTTTATTAAGATTTCCTTATTCATTTGGTATTGGGGTATAAAAAATAAAAATTAAATTTAAAAAATTCCTTTTTCATAGTCTGAATTCAAAGAAATAAGGAAGAAATTAAAAAGGAACTAACAAGAAAAACTACACTAATAAAGGATATTTTAAATATGTATATTAGCTCTTTTCAACAAAGAAAACTGACTGAATTTTCTTTTTCAAATTCCATTCTCTTATCTCCAACAACAAAAAAGTTAAGAAGTAACTTTTTATTTTAGAACTACAAAAGAAAGGGAAATACAAAACAATTTTAATTGCTTAGGTTAATTCCAATATGTCAATTATTCTTAAAGTGTTACCAAAAAACTCCAGTGTAATATACAAGCATGCAATATATGGGATGGAATGACCAACCACCGAAATCTCAAAGGATGCTTGAATAGCATGCATTTGAACTTAACTGAAAAGGCTGAGGCCCAGAGACAACAAGTGTGACCACGCCCATTCAAATACCTTAAATGGCCTATCATGATAAACATAATACTTAAAAGTACTGAGTGTTAGGGAAGTAACTTAACTAGGTTGAGGCTCACAATTATATGGAAATATACTTAGGTCTTTAGAAATGTCAAAAAACAGCTTGTGCACTTTGAGCATCACTTTGTTCTATATAGCTTTTCAGTTTCTGTTGAGACAAATTTACAAAAATAACTAGCAGAAGAAAGGAAAATAAAAATAATTAAATATCTTGTCTTTGCAATACATACCATAGGTTGTATTTCTATACTTTCCCATGTCTGGATTTTAAGGTGTTAGTTACAAAGTGATCACATTTGAAAAAGAAGAGACATGAAATTTCAAAATAAAATAAATTCTAAAATAAAAACTTCTATCACCCTAGATTCTGTCTGCTCCTTATTTGGCAGCCACTAAACTTTTCCAGAGACTGAAGTGAAGTCGCTCAGTCGTGTCCGACTCTTTGTGACCCCATGGACTGTAGCCTACTGGGCTCTTCCGTCCATGGGATTTTCCAGGCAACAGTACTGGAGTGAGTTGCCATTTCCTTCTCCAGAGGATCTTCCCAACCCAGGGATCAAACCCAGGTCTCCTGCATTGTACAGACGCTTTACCGTCTGAACCACAGTTTCCCTTAAAGATTAAAATATTCAGGCAGATACTGACTCTGGCTATTGAAAGTTCAGAAGGTATTATTGTTTTGGAACAAATATCAATAAATGTATCCTGATTTAACCATACTTTGTTGCTGTTGTTTAGTCACTCGGTCATGTCTGATTCTTTGCAACCCCATGGACTGCAGCATGCCAGGCTTCGATGTCCTTCTTCCAGAGCTTGCTCAAACTAATGTCCATTGAATCAGTGATGCCATCCAGCCATCTCGTCCTCTGTTGTCCCCTGCTCCTCCTGCCTTTGATCTTTCCCAGCATCAGGGTCTTTTCTAAAGAGCTGGCTCTTCACATCAGGTGGCCAAAGTATTGGAATTTCAGCTTCAGCATCAGTCCTTCCAATGAATATTCAGGACTGATTTCCTTTAGGATTGACTGGCTTGATCTCCTTGAAGTCCAAGGGACTCTCAAGAGTCTTTCCAACACCACAGTTCAAAAACATCAGTTCTTCAGTGCTCAGCTTTCTTTATGGTCCAACTCTCATTAATCTATACATGACTATTGGAAAAAGCATAGCTCTGACTAGACGGCCCTTTGTTGGCAGAGCAATGTCTTTGCTTTTTAATATGCTGTTCAGGTTTGTCATAGCTTTTCTTCCAAGGAGCAAGCGCCTTTTAATTTTGTGACTGCAGTCACCATCTACAGTGATTTTGGAGCCCAAGAAAATAAAGTCTGTCACTGTTTCCACTGTTTCTCCATCTATTTACCATGAAGTGATGAGACTAGATGTGATGATCTTTGTTTTTTGAATGTTGAGGTTCCCCCCCCCAAAAATGGGCAATGTGTAGTGTTCTTAAAAACAGATTCTATTTATTTATTTAAAAAATTTTCTATGTATTATGTCATAGGTATGGCAAAAACCATGACATGTATATCATGTCAATGTATGGCAAAACCCACTACAGTATTGTAAAGTAATTAGCCTCCAACTAAAATAAATTAATTAAAAAAAATAAAAACATATAAATGAAAAAAAAAATAAACTCAAATTAAAAATAAATAAAATAGGAAACAACATAGAGAAAGATTGAATGTTGAGTTTTAGGCCAGCTTTTTCACTCTCCTCTTTCACCTTCATCAAGAGGCTCTTTAGTTCCTCTTTGCTTTCTGTCTATGCCATAGACTTTTTTTAAACCAAATGAGGGACCAGAATTCTTTATCCATTTTAAGTCTCAGATTTTTGTGACTCTTAGTTTTAGAGAAAGAATTACTTCGTTATAGAATTTCTCTCTCCAGTTCTAGAGAGCCTGGAATACATAAATTCCTTTGCCTACTTTCTTTTTTTTAAATAAATTTCATGTTGGGAATAATTAGCTAACCGTGGGATAATGTTACTCCGATTTCTGAAAGAAGAATGAAATGCCTTCCATACATGTTCTGTCTTCCATCCATGATAAGGATTAACTCATTATCTTTGTCTTTTTGCACATAAGTATTGCCTTTTGCTCAATCAAAAAACCTTTCTTTCATATTATAGAGTGTGGCCACTGACAGCATGTCTCATATTTTTGAATTTTTTAAAAGTCATCATTAAGATGAATGGGTTCTCTTCTTCTGCCTCTCTTTATAGTAGGTTGTAATTGCTACATTAATCAACGGAAAGGGACTGAAGTACACGTCTATGCCTGTGCTCAACACTTAGAAGACAGGATGCCTTAGGATGACAGAATTTAAAACTGGGTCAGCAAATTAAAGCACTGATATTCCGTTACAGAATATTTCTAAACAACTAAAGTCTTTAAGCCTTTAAGATAAATATCTGGAAAAGATAGGACTGCATGCCAATCTTTCATAGTTTACTGAATCTAAGATATCATTATTTTATATACCATTAAACAAAAATAATGCTGATTATTACTGTAAGACACCATCAATTGCAAAATGAATCTAATTTCAGAGATGTTAAAATGTGAAAGATATGTGCTTTAGAATTAAGGAAATATGACAACTGCCAGCACTATGCCAGGATCAATCTACTGAAGTTCCTGCTCTAAAGGGGTTACTTACTAAATTTTGTGAATAAATAGGAATCAAAATCCTACCCTCCGTGCTGTTTTACTTGATTTTCTTAGCTTAATTTATTAATATCATATGAATGTATGTTTCCAGATAAGAATATCTAATGTTTTTCTCTTTGCACTTGAAAATATTTCTCACTTCTTTCTCTTACTTACTCAGGTGGGCAGGGCTCAGTGTTGCAGGTTCTTTGATTTTCAGGTGGCTTACTATCAGGGTCACAGTAATTGTTCTGGACAATGGAGTTGTCATCCAACCTTTTACAGACCACCTCCTGTCTTTGGACACCTTGAGAAAAGGAGGACATCATTAATTGAAGAGTAGTTTACCTTCCAGCAAGTTAGGTATGCATAGCTTTCTTCTGTGGGGAATCAACCTCACTGGATCGATGCTGTCTTATCTGTTCCAGAATACTTGACTGCTTCTCTAAAAAGGAGAGAAGTCCTGGTCATTATATTGCAAATTTAGGCAAAATCACTGTTCTCATATTTAGAAACATAACTGTTTTCAAGTTCAGAAAAGAAACTATTGGTAATTTTAAACAATTCGTATATCCATATGTATATTCTTCTTCATGCTTTCCTTTAAAAAAAGAAACTTTATTTTCCCAAAATATCATCAGATAAAGTGTATGAATATACATTTCAATGCAAAACAATGGTTGTAGATCTATTTAAAAACAAAACATTAGGGACAAATTTACATTTTAATATTTTGTAGGACAAATTCAATCAATTTAGTCTTTGTTAGGAACACATAACATTCACACATTTCATTTTTCTCCCTTCCATTTAAAAAAGGTTTATTTCTCTGAAAGCCCACAGAGTCTAGAATTTAAAGACAGCAGTGAGCCTCTTTGAACTGCAACACATTAAGTACTCTGTTTGCTTTTGTAGAGTTGGCCCTGTTGATCACACCATCGTCAAACAGATATATACATATTCCATCAAATATTAACTTACAGAATACTTTTCATCCTTAAATATTGGTCTATATAACTTGTTTGCCACAACTAAAAACATTCTCATAAAAGTTGTAAAATTCTAAATATATGTTTATTATTTTTGGCAAAGATATCCACCACAACTTGCTCACATTTCACAAAATACAAGGACACACACAAACACACTCTTATTTGTAAGCATGCCTGGAAATAGACTTTGTGCAGATTCATTTTCTCTTCAGTGGGGAAGAATCAAAAGAAACAAAGATAAGGTTTATCAAAGTCTCAGAGAAAAGTCAATCTACAAGACAATGCTAAATATTTCAGATCTTATGGGGGTAGTAGCTTACTCCCAGAACTGAAAATAAAAGCACAAACTAAGCTACCCACCCCTAACCACCCACCTCATTTCTATAACCAGGTAGGCTAAATTACCCAGAACCAGTTGTAAAAGCAGCATTAGCAGTATCCAGGAAACTATAGCTTCATACCAGGCTAAACCTATACAAACCTTTAGTTTTTCTTTTTTTCTCAGTTGCTTTTACAGTGCTCTAAAGAAAAGAGTTTGACCCCAGATTAGGGAAATCAATGTGAAACAGGATCACTCAATGAAGGAAACTGTCACCTAAAGAGGTATGCACAAAATGCTTTCTCAAGTTCCCTTACATGCATGAGACCTCTGCAGATGGGAGTGCCACAGCTATCAGGCTATGCACACTTTTAACTAAGCCCTTTGAATTTGAAGATGGGAAATCTATTTCCCTGATAGGGAAAACTATTATGTCCCATAGTCTCCACAATGGTGGTGAGCAGTTGAAGAAGATGTATTTGATTACTTGCAGTGGTTCTTACTAATCATCTTCAACAAGTTTTTTGGTTTTCCTAAATTTAGAGCTTTAAACCACAGCCAAACAACTTACTGGTAAAATGTCTCAGAGTATGTGTTGTATTCATTCCTTCCCAACCCATTGAACAGGCCAAACATCTCAGTTTATGCAACAACAGTTTGGAATTTTTTAACTATTAAACTTAAGATTTTTGAGGGAAGAATGATTCATATCAGGCATATCTTTGACCCATTCACAGATGTTCCACAATATTTACCAGATAGCTCCTCATTGTGTCATTCCAGTGGGCAGATAACTAAGTGCATGTGATTCACCTAGACAAAAATCTCTATTATTAGTCATCAGATTCAACTACCAAATGCCACAATGGCTCAGAATATATATCCGCCCGGCTTCAATACTTTGTTCCTATCAGGAAGAGCAGGGAATTGTTTTTATAGGTTAGCATGGTTATTTTTAAAAAGTCATTCAAATATGATTATACTTGAAGTGGGGGGACTCAAAATATCCACTTATCCACAGGACTTACAACTTTAACTAACTTTTATAAATATATCTAATAATTTAAAAAATACGATTATACTTGCAATAAGAAAGTTGTCATTCAATCCAGTATCTTGGGTGTTTTTCAGAAAAGGATAAGCTTTTAATTTTAATTTAATTTTATGTTTATTGAGGGAGGATAAACATTTTCAACACTACAAAATGTGACTGATATTGCTTGATATCAGTGGCAGAAATATCAATTCAGTTTCTACAGGTTAAGATAAAATTCTACTTCCTTAAAAAATCTTAGAAATGTTGTTTGGTTATAATGATATTAGTTTTTAAAAGTAGCCTTAATTATAAAAGCAAGGCCTCTGCAATTTGAATCACAGATGAGATACTAGTTATTAAAGATTTACATTTGATTTTAAGATAAATTCTATCCATGTACAATCTTGAAAAAAATTCAACTACATAACATTAATTGTCAAAAATTTGGAAAATACACAAAAACAGAAAGAGAAAATAAAAATTATCCACAATCTCATATCTTTGCCTTGGATCTTTATTTTTAAGGCTATTTCTTTCTTTGGTGGGATCCAGTAATTAAAATTATATAGTACACAAACTAAAAAGGCCAGCTAAACGTGGTTGGTGGGTCATTCATTCTTTAACTCATCCATTCATTCATTCAACAAAGAATAATTACTGAATACAAGGCACTGTACTTCTTATGTGATACTGAGCTAAGTGTGAAGAATTACAAATTGACTTAATTTTCTCATGTCTAGTTTCTTAACAACTAGAATTTAGGATATTTAGGGGTGCATTTCAGTTTCACAATTTCAGAATGCTATTTTTTATGAAGCAAAAATTAAAGTTCTTAAGTAAGCAGCTGAAATAGCTATTTTACAAAGACACATTTTCCTTGCATTCATCTTTTATTAATTTTCTTCTAAAATGTCACATTAGACAGTGTGGTATTTCACACTCAAGAACTGACTATACCAGTAATCTATTCCAAATCTTCCTAAAATGCTGAACTATCTTCCTTCAACAGCACAAATCTTCCAACTTATACCTCCACACTTGGCAGGTTTACAGATTTTTTTTCTCTTTAAGTCAGTAGCAACAGAGTAACTCTCTAAGGCAATGCACTTAATTGAATGGATTTTTCAACACATACTTATGGATTAAGGAAAATGCAGCTTTTAGCGTTATAAAATTTAAATCAACTGGAAATAATCTAAACTAAATCAACAAGAGAAATGATTGAGTTTAGAATCTTTTATATGATTAACCCTCTTGTACGTAGCTTCTTTTAAAATAATCTGTAAAACATTGCTAAGAAATTGATTTAAACCTTTTCAGGAATAACTACATCCCGTTATACAAAACCACTATGCTTCCAAATCTAAAGACGTATAGTTTATAACCCAAAACATAAAATGTCCGTATGACCAGTCAGTACATGCCTAGTCAAAAATAAAATTCTGGTGGTTTAGTGCCCATATCCCCTGGAGATATGCAGGTGTTCAGCAGAATTTAATTGGTCAAACTTAAAACTGCACCAATTGTATTTTATTCTTAAACACCTGAAGTTACAAGCATGCAAATTCTATACCTAATTCTGGTTTTAAATGCAATTCCTCTTCCATGTTTAAAAAAAAGAAAACTTCACTGCTTTCACATTACAAAATTTAAGTACAAAGATATGACTACCACATTTACTCTAAACTCTCTAAAATGAGTGTATCCTGTTTAGAGTCTTTTGTTTATCATTTTGGTTAGTAGTAGTAGTAGCAGTGTGAGTTGCTCAGTCATGTCCGACTCTGCAATTCCACAGACTGCAGCCCTCCAGGCTCCTCTGTCCATTCTCCAGGCAAGAATACTGGAGTGGATTGCCATTCCCTTTGCCAGAGGATCTTTCTGACCCAGGAATCAAAACCAGGTGTCCTGCGTTGCAGGAAGATTCTTTACCATTTGAGCTACAGGGCAGCAAACATGTTTCTTAACATAGAAACATAGCCTTTATTTTTAGCTTGGAAGCTTAAATTTGACAGATCTTTTATTTCATTTCTGCCAGTAGTTAAAGGTTACAGATGATCTACTTGCCCATCAAAAGTTATGTTGTCCAATAGGAGGAAGGAGTACACAGCATGAATCACTGCTCAAGGTACACATGAAGAAATGGCATTTAGTATTTGAAATAGCATATGCCATAGGAAAATGAGCAAGAAGTCCTGGATGGAATCCTTCAATCTTCTGTGCTTATTCTAGGAAATGGTGATGGTTCAAGAATACAGGGTCTTTTGCTCAGCAGTTGCAGTCATAGGGCCAACCCTGAGTGAAGACTTTAGAGAACTTTCCTACTTCTCATTTCCGGCATCCTTTTCAGTCCCTCTTCTATCCCTCTTATAAGCTGCTCAGAGTTCTTATGTCCCGTCTCTCTTCTTTCAGATAATTAAATCATTTTATACATACATGTGTAAAAATATTTATCAATTTATTGCTTTTCTCAGGGTATTTTTTTTCAAATGCCATGATCAACAGACTAAGATCTTGGCATCCGGTCCCATCACTTCAAGGCAAATAGATAGGGAAACAATGGCAACAGTGGCAGACGTTTATTTTCTTGGGCTCCAAAATCACTGCAGATGGTGAAGCAGCCATGAAATTGAAAGACACTTGCTCCTTGAAAGAAAAGCTATGACCAACCTAGACAGCATATTAAAAAGCAGAGACATTACTTTGCCGACAAAGGTCTATCTAGTCAAAGCTATGGTTTTTTCAGTAGTCAGGTATGGATGTGAGAGTTGGACCATAAAGAAAGCTGAGTGCCGAAGGATTTACATTTTTGAACCGTGGTGTTGGAGAAGACTCGTGAGAGTTCCTTGGACTGCAAGGAGATCAAACCAGTCAATCCTAAAGGAAATCAACCCTGAATATTCACTGGAAGGACTGGAGATGAAGCTGAAGCTCCAATCCTTTGGCCACCTGATGCAAAGAAC